TGGAATTACCACGCGTTATATCGCCACGCGTTGAAATTACTGCGCGTCGTAACTCCACGTGTCGTAACTTCACGCGTTGTAACTCCACACGTTGGAATTATCACGCGTTATATTGCCACGCGTTGGAATTAGTGCGCTTCGTAGCTCCACGTGTCGTAACTTCACGCGTTATAACTCCACGTGCTGTATTGTTACATCCTGAAATTACCACGCGTTATATTGTCACGCATTGAAATTACTGCGCGTCGTAACTTCACGCACTGTAACTCCACGCGCTGTATTGTTACATCCTAAAATTACCACGCGTTATATTGCCACGCATTGAAATTACTGCGCGTCGCAACTTCACGTACTGTAACTCCACGCGTCGTATAGTTACATCCTGAAATTACCACGCGTTATATTGCCACGCGTTGACGTCACTGCGCGTCGTAACTCCACGTGCCGTAATTTCACGCGTTGTAACTCCACGCGCCGTATTGTCACATGCTGGACTTACCACGAGTTGTATCCCCACGTGCTCGAACTACAACGCGTTGGAATTACTGTCTCCGCGTTTATCCTGGCACAGCTGAGTTACCACGCGTTGTATCGCCACGCGCTATAATTACCATGCATTGGAATTACTATGCGCCGTATCTTCCCGCGCCGGAATTACCGTGCGCTTTAGTAATTACGCGTCATGTCGCTACACGCTGAAATTACTGAGCGCCATATCGCCACGCGCGGAAATTACTATGCGCCATATCGCTACGCACGGAACCTACTCGTCGAATCAGCACGAATTAGAGAAGCACTAAATCTGTACGAATTATATCGCCAAGTGTTATCCACGCGTTCCAATGCTAATCGCTGCCTACTCGTGCTATATTGCCATGAAGCGTATCGACGGATTCACTCACGTATTGTACCTCTACTTGTAATTTCTCTATCGCGGTGTGCTATGTATGAAGGAGCGACACAATTTGGGAAATATTCCTTTGCTCGAGAACAGCCATCGCAAGTGGCGCATGCATCTGGCAGAGTATCAGAAGGAAATCTAATCAAAGGTTGATCTGCATAAATTCATTGTAGCATAGACGAGAAAGATATTCGTAGCTCGGCAATTCGCGTTCGATTCCGTGTCACTTCCGGCGGCGCGCGATCGGTGCGCATGCGCGCGCCTGCCTCTGCGTCACCAGCGGAGAAAGAGGCGCCGGGAACAGGAGGATTCTTGCGCGAATATCAACGAAAGATCGGAATTGGCTATTAAAAGTTCGCGATAACTTTCCGAAGCGGATAGCCCGGAGAGCCTCGTGTATTGGGAATCGGTTTCTTCGAATATATCGAGTG